GTGAGACAACTAAATGAAATAGTATGTTAAAGTGGCCAGCGCACAGTAGGTCTGTAAACTGTTGATGCCTTTCCTTACTGTGTTCCACACACAGAACATTAATTTTCTTCTAATTACATTTTCTCAACAATTTCCATAGGTGTGGTTTCTGCAACCAACCAAACACCTTTTTAATGCCTAAGGTTAGTGTCACAATGTATAAATGTAAAACTTGCAGTGGGACTTTAATTTGAAGATGAAGAGATCATTTGTGAGTAATTGCTCTTAATCTTGGTAAATATATTTCCTAATTATGTTGTGGCGTCTTGTTGCTGACAAATCATTCCTTGGCTAATGATATATAACTTCTTCATCAAAATTATGGGACACACTCAATTACTGAGTTAGGGATTTTCTTCACTTGCTAAATTATATGGATTTATTCTGAGATGAACATGAATGACAATTATACTGAACATTTGAAAAATAAATAAAGTTATCCTACCCTAGGAAACATTTATGTTTAAGGGATTAAAAAACTAAACTTTGTTATGGTTGGAATATGGAGGAATGGTTTATGAGGGTCTAAAATTATTCCCGGTAAGTGAGATTATCTATGCATTATCTATATCAAATGCTTCCTGTAGTTCTAGGGTATATAAAAATTGGATAATGTTTTATATGCTTTTCCATTACATATTTACTTGGTTGTTAGATGTTTGTCATTTGTTTTATTAAAATTAAATGTATGATGATGAAATTATTTCTGGTTAGAGACACTTGGCTAAGAGTTTGATCTCTCTTCCCTCTTTTCATGAAAACTTGGTTTTAAATATAATCATGCTTTATTCAAACAATACTCATTTTATTATTTTCTTCCTATGTTTCCTAAAACCTTTTCTGGCCTCCGTTGTTTTATGTTGAGGTCTTAGTACCACTCTTTTTGCCAAACTGAAAATTGTTTTATTTATTTTCAGAGCAAGCTATGTAGATACAATTTTCTCCATTATTATTTTAAATGCACTTCAGATAACATTTGTTAAGAACTCTTGTGGGGGCCAGAACTGTGGTGTAGTAGGCTAAGCCTCCACCTGCGGTGCCAGCATCCCATATGGGCGCTGGTTCCTGTCCCAGCTCTCCCCTTTGGATCCAGCTCTCTGATATGGCCTGGGAAAGCAGTAGAGGATGGCCCAAGTGCTTGGGCTCCTGCACCCACCGGCTTCGGTTTGGTCCAACTCCAGCTGTTGCGGCCATTAGGAGAGTGATCCAGCAGATGGAAGACCTTTCTTTCTGTCTTCCCTCCCTCTGTAGCTCTACCTTTCAAATAAATAAAATCTTTACAAAACAAAAACAAAACAAAAAACTTATGAAAAGCTGTGCACTAATTCAGTGAATAATAATATTTGCTTAAAACTCTACATCTGTTATCATACCATAAAACTAAGGCAATTCATCTTTGCTTAAAATATTTATTTTAATTATTTGAAAGGCAGAGCTACAGAGAGAGGAGGGGAGGCAGGCAGAGAAATGTTCCATCCACTGGTTTACTCTCCAAATGGCCGAATGGCCAGGGCTGGGCCAGACCGAAACAGGAGCCAAAAATTCCATCCTTGTCTCCCAAGTGGGTTCAGGGGCCCAAGCATTTGGGCCATCTTCTGCTGCTTTCCCAGGCACATTAGCAGGGAGCTGGATTGTAAATGGAGCAGCTGGGACTCAAACCAGCGTCTATATGAGACTCTGGCATCACAAGCAGCGGCTTAACCCGTTATACCACAATGCTGGCCCACTAAATTGGTCTTTGCTGTCTTATGTAGTAATTTTTTGGGGAGGGATGTTTCAGGAAACCATGGGCATGGCCAGAATAAATCCTGTCTTAGCCATTAAAGTCAACCAAAAAAACCTACTGAAACACATGAACAAATGAACTTGAACATCAACAAAACAAAGTTGTTACAAACCTATATGGAATGCAGGCTGTGGGAAATAAAAAAATTGAAGACATTCTGTATGGTTTTTCACTTTCCCAGTGATGAGGTGTTTATAGTGTGGTACAATGTGAGAATCCTACGGTAAAATATTTTTTGTAGGAATGCCTCGAGGCCATTCTTCTTAAGACACAGGAAGGGAGGGGCTGTGCCTTGTGTTGCTGTCCACTCATCGTCCACATCTCTCAATTACTCTAGTCCTCAGAGGAGAGGGACTTTCCATTTAAAAATAATTTATTTATGTATTTTGGTTGATAGGCAGAAAGAGAGAGAGGGAGAAAGAGAGAGAGATCTTCCATCTTCCGGTTCACTCTCTTGATGTCTTCCATAGCCAGGTCTGAGCCAGGATGAAGCCAGGAGCTGGCAACTCAATCCGTCTCCCATGTGGGTGGCAGGGAGCCCACTTCTTGAACCACGATGTGCTGTCTCCCAGGGTGCATATTAGCAGGAAGCTGGGTCCGAAGCAGAGAGCGCCCAGGCCCTCTGCCCACGGAAGAAGGCATCCCAAGCAGTGACGTCACTGCTGGGTCAGACACCCACGTGGACTGCTGTCTGTGCGCTTCTTCTTGCACGACTCTCCCACAGTCTCCTCTGAGCTGTCTCTAACTGCTCTCACTTCATTCACATCACATCTGCTTTCGTCGGATTTGTCACATCACTCAGTCATTCTTTCAATAAAACTGCTGGTCCTTTTGTTATGCGGTCCAATTTCAGTGACTCCAACTACACACTAAAATAGAAAATGGAAGAATAGGAATAGGAAGTCCTTTTTATAAACTCCTTCTCCCACCAAAGTACTCTGAAGGATGCAGCAAAACCTAGGCTTTCTGCTGGACCTGTGGACACAGTCACAGCAGTTAAGAAGACCCCACTGGGCGCGATCTTTACTGGGGTTATTTATAGTAAACGGAGCTCGAGGCAACAAACATCGCATAAATCAGAGTGCAGCTCTGGGGGCAACACTGCCATTTAGTTTTTCCTTTCACCACTCTTCTCCTTTTCCACTTTCTTTCCTCTTCCTGGGGTAGCCTGGTCAGAAGTCTTTTTGGCACTTCCCTCCCTGCTGTGGGATGCCTTGTACATTCAGGTCCTCTAGGCAGAGGGCATCCTCTGTAGGAATGCCTTGATGCTATTTAACTTGATGTTATTAACTTTTGCAATGTCCAGATTTGGTCGACTTCTTTTTCCACCTTCAATGTTAAGGTTTTTTTTTTTTTTTAGATTTATTTTATTTATTCTTTGGAAGGCAGAGAGCGAGAGTGACAGAGAGCAAGAGAGCACTTTTTTTTTTTTTTTTTTTTTGACAGGCAGAGTGGACAGTCAGAGAGAGAGACAGAGAGAAAGGTCTTCCTTTTCTGTTGGTTCACCCCTCAATGGCCGCTGCGGCCAGCGCACTGTGGCTGGCGCACTGTGCTCATCCGAAGCCAGGAACCAGGTGCTTCTCCTGGTCTCCCATGCGGGTGCAGGGCCTAAGCACTTGGGCCATCCTCCACTGCCCTCCCAGGCCACAGCAGAGAGCTGGACTGGAAGAGGAGCAACCGGGACAGAATCTGGCACCCCGACTGGGACTAGAACCCGGGGTGCTGGTGCCGCAGGTGGAGGATTAGCTTATTGAGCCATGGCACGGGCCAGGAGAGCACTTCTTTATATGCTGGTTCACTCCCCAATGGCTGCAACAGCCAGGGCTAGACTGAAGGCAGGGGCCAGTACCTTCATCCAGGTCTCTGACATGGGTGCATGGGCCCAAGCACTTGGGCCATCTTCTGCTGCTTTCCTAGCTGCATTAACAGGGAGCCGCATTGGAAGTGGAGCAGCCAAGACTTGAACCAGCACTCATATGAGATGAGCCCGTGCTTCAGGCCAGAGCGTTAAAACCTGCTGCACCCTCACTTTTTGTATTAACCCTCCCTTTTTCTTTAGTTAACTCTGGGGAAATTTGTGGGACAATAGAGGAGGACGTTAATTTCCTCCCCTTTGCTCCCTAAGCAATTCCTGTGTTCAGCCAGGGCTTGGAAATGCGCCGGCACGGAGGAGACTGGTTTCCCAAGGGCTCAGCCTGCTCCTTCCGCTGAGTGATGAATACGAACGTCCTGGGCGGGCGCTTTCTCAGGCAGTCTGCGCCTTACACGGTGCCACGCCCGGCTGCGGCAGCCATGGTGCTCCTGCACTGCTCCCTTCCTTCTCGGGTCTTCCACGCGCCCCTCCACTCTCCAGCTTCACCCCAACAGCCCTGCAGTCATTCTTCCTGTTTCTGGAAAGCACGGAGTTCCTTCCAGCCTCAGGGACTTCGCCACACCCTTCCTTCTGCGTGGGTTACTCCGCCCTGGGTTTCCTCCCCTGCTCCTCTCTCCTTTCTGCACTTTCACACATACCTGGCTTCTTCGCTTTCTCCAGATCTCAATTCCAGTGCGGGTTTTTCAAGGGCGCCCTCTTTGGCCACCCAATTGAACGTACATCTTTCCTCCATTCTCTGTCATAGAGCCTTGTGCACTACAAGCATAACTTTAGTTGTAATGTGTAAATTCTTATTTTTTGTTTTCTTTTCTTTATTGTTGCGGTGGATTCGTTCTGAGAGGAGGAGCATGGTGGGGGCAAAGAGATGGAGTCATCACGCAGATCCTGGAGTTGGGTGAAAGCAGGCCAGAGGCGAGCAGCTCACAGATTCGTTTATTTCAGTTGGTACAGCAGCTTAAATAGCCAAGGCAGCCAATCTGGTCAAGGCGCGGTTTATGCCCTAACCAATCACAGCCTATTGCCAGGCAGGCTCCATTGCCAGGTGGCTTTCAAAGCCATTCCTGAGTAACTGATGCTTGCTTGCCAGCGGCCATCTTGGCATGGCCTTCTCACCCCACCATACTTTATCGTCAGCCTCTTGCTTGCAACTATAAGCTCTGTGGCCAGGTGTTATTTTTTTTGGTTGGAACCAGTGCATATCCAGTGTCCAGAACATAGTATCTGCTCAATAAATATTTGTTGAACAGATGGAAAAGTATCCTCTTTTAGCAATATTATCTATTCTTCCTGTGGATTTTGTAGATTACCTGTGCTTCCTCAGCCAGAGAGATGAAATCCATTACCAGGATGAAAAGAACGTTTTATGGGGTAAGTGTTCCAAATCCTTGTTTTGAATACTTTGCTTTTTAAAACTATGAAATATTTCTGCTTTTATATCTGTGCTTTATCTGCAGATTGGAAACAAAGGAATCTACAAAGCGATTGGTGAACTGGATATTCTTCTGTCCTGGATTAAAAAGTTCTTGGAAAGCATTCCGGAAATCAAGAAGCCAAGCATAGAGATTTGATAGTTATTTCAAAATAGGAGAACCAATAGAAATTGATTGATGACATGCTTTTTTTAAAAAATAGCTTTCTTTCAATATATATTGCTGAGTGCAAGTTAAAAGATTTAGAATAGGTTAGAGAGATTTAACGTATTAAAGCTTTGGAAATAAGTAACTTCACAAATTTATATATTTTTCTGTGTTTTCAAAGAATGTTTTTGTTCTGCTCATGTTTTGTTATTCACAAGTGCATTATATGCTTTTAATTTAAATATATTTAACCTGAATTAACTCTCATCATAGCAGTGGCAAAAAATGATAGTCTTTTGGGATAGCATATAATGTTATTAAGACAAGTAAATGCTATGTCTATGATTATTACCTACTCAGGGGTTTGATGAATTTTAATTGAGCTGAGAATGAAGTTAGCTCTTAACAGACTTTGATTTCAATCAAATATGCTGTTTCTTTCCCTGGACGCCCTTCCTATGCCAGTGTGCTAGGATTTCATTGAGTACAATGGGTGATGATGAGATCAGATCAATGAAGACACACGCGTCAACTAACTGCCTGGCCCAATCTCCCAGGAATGCTTTTGGCAGACAACCCTGGCCACTAAGTTCATAGGTTAGCAAACTGAAATGCTGTGAACACGTGGTAGTCTCCTCCTGGGGACTGTACGATTAAGCAAGTTGACAAGAGGCCAAATCAAAGTCAGCTGAGACTGCAAGTCAAGTCCTCATAATTCTAAAGCCTCATTTGCATAATCAGCCCTTCAGTTAAATGAGTACTATGTCCTGGTTATCATTTTTGCTAAAGGAGATTTGCTTCATTGCTACTGGCATAGGAGACACAGGCAGTTTCTGACAGAGCGTCCTTGGTAGCCAGCAAGTTCACTTCCACGGGCATTCATCACACCCCTGCTATGTCAGTCTTGGTTATAAATCATCCTTAAGCCACCCCTTTGCTCAGGGTCTCCAGACATCAGAGAGCCTGGGAATCATTCATTTGACAGTCAGCAAAGAAGTATTTATGATGTGAACTTTTGGTCTTTATGGGTAGCATTTCACCTGCTGTCCTAATGTTTTGGGATGATTGAATTCAGTGGGTTTGCATGATGGATTGTTTTCCAAATTCTTTCCTTTGTGTAGGACAGTCAAAAGGTGGCTAGACTCCATCAGGAGTAAAATAGGAATTAAAAAGTCGTTGCTGAGTAAAACAGTAATATCCATGTATTGGTGCCTGTTTGTAAACAAGCTTTTATCAGAGTTCAGGAGGGGAAAGCACAATTTTTTGTGTTTGGGTAAAGACTGGTGTATTGAAGAGGGAGAAGCCGAGAGGGGACTGTCTCAGTGGAATGAGTGTGGACCCAGTGGTGAGGCTGTCTTACACACCCCATACTGGGCTTTGTTGGAACCAGAAGTGATCACACCTCAGAAAATGGCTGCACTGCCCCATGTGCCCATAAGACACTGTATAAACCCCCAACCCATTTAGCATTTATAACAGGAACTCCCTCTGGGGAGACCCCTCTTGGATCATTCCTAGGAAAATAAATTTGAATGCTTTGCTTGTCAGCATTGAACAAATCCTTAGTTCCGGGTGGAGCAGGAGGAGCCCGAGCACCAGGGAACACAATGGGGTATTGGAAGGGACTTCAATGGAGTTGAGAGATGGGGCCAGCCCCAAGGTCACTCCCGTGAAACACTGGTCCTCCTGGCAAGCTAACCCCTAAGCCCTGCTTCACTTCTCCACCCTCCCCCCCACCCCCGGCTTGCTTGTTTGCTTACTGGGGTCTCTACCATATCAGAATATTGGCTCCATGGGGCAGGAATGTTGTCTCTTTTCTGCAGCGTCTCCAGCACCTAGAACACAGCCTTAGAACAAGGCACTGCAAAAACATGTTGTGAGTGTGCAAATCCACGAGAGAATGAGTGGGCATTGGCCTGACTGTGGACAAGAAGTGTGGCCAGTGTCAGGTCATGTCACTTCCTGGGCCTCTGTTTCTGGATTGGTCCTAAATGACGTGAGCTACCACAGTGGTTGTACCCAGACATCTGCACGATGAGAGACTCAGGCCTTGTATTCTCCAGCTGCCCTGGCCCTCTCTGGGTCTCACGCACCCACCTGACTCCAGTACCAACCCAAGCTTTGTTTTGCCTGGTTAATTTTCCTGATCTTTTTAAGATTTCATTCAAACATCATCTTGCTCTTAATGGTTTCATGTGTGCTATGTGTCCTCATAGACCTTATCAGAATTCCTTTACCTGTTTTTTTTTTTTTTTTTTTTTTTTTTTTTTTTGACAGGCAGAGTGGATAGTGAGAAAGAGAGACAGAGAGAAAGGTCTTCCTTTTGCCGTTGGTTCACCCTCCAACGGCCGGCGCACCGCGCTGATCCGATGGCAGGAGCCAGGTGCTTCTCCTGGTCTCCCATGGGGTGCAGGGTCCAAGTACTTGGGCCATCCTCCACTGCCTTCCCGGGCCACAGAAGAGAGCTGGCCTGGAAGAGAGGCAACCGGGAAAGAATCCAGCACCCCGACCCGGACTAGAACCCAGTGTGCTGGCGCCGCTAGGTGGAGGATTAGCCTATTGAGCCACGGCGCCGTCCCTTTTACTGGGTTTATATTTATTATTTTTTTCTTTTTTAAACTTTTATTTAATGGATTACAATGGCTCCCCCCCATAACTTCCCTCCCACCTGCAACCCTCCCCTTTCCCGCTCCCTCTCCCCTTCCATTCACATCAAGATTCATTTTCAATTCTCTTTATATACAGAAGATCAGTTTAGCATATATTAAGTAAAGGTTTCAACAGTTTGCACCCACATAGAAACACAAAGTGAAGAATAGTGTTTGAGTACTAGTTATAGCATTAAATCACAATGTACAGCACATTAAGGACAGAGATCCTACATGAGGAGTAAGTGCACAGTGACTCCTGTTGTTGACTTAACAATTTGACACTCTTGTTTATGGCATCAGTAATCACCCTATGTTCTTGTCCTGAGTTGCCAAGGCTATGGAAGCCCCCTGAGTTCACCGACTCTGATCATATTTAGACAAGGTCGTAGTCAAAATGGAAGTTCTCCCTTCAGAGAAAGGTACCTCCTTCTTTGATGACCTGTTATATTTAATGTCTGCCTTTCCCACTGGACTGTCACTCTGTGATTCACTGCAGTTCATTCAGCCTAGAAGTTTATGCATAGTAAGTGCACAGCAAATATCTGTTGAATGGAGTGAAATAGTGAATTGGATTAGAGTCTCCAAAGTTTCTTCCAGCTCTAACATTATCTGCTGTCATAATTTCTTTTTTTTTAAGATTTATTTATTTGAAAGTCAGAGTTACACAGAGAGGAGAGGCAGAGAGAGAGAGAGAGAGAGAGAGAGAGAGGTCTTTTGTCTGCTGGCTCACTCCCCAACTGGCTGCAACTGCCAGAGCTGTGCCAATCCGAAGCCAGGAGCCAGGAGCTTCTTCTGGGTCTCCCGCATGAGTGTAGGGGCCCAAGCACTTGGGCCATCTTCTACTGCTTTCCCAGGCCACAGCAGAGAGCTGGATCAGAAGTGGAGCAGCCAGGACTCGAACCGGTGCCCATATGGGATGTTGGCACTGCAGGCGGCAGCTTTACCCATTACACCACAGTGCTGGCCCAATAATTTCTTTTAAAAATTAAAAAAATTAATTTGTTTTTGTTTTTTAAATTTACTTGAAAGGCAGAGAGAGAGAGAGAGAGAAAGGGATATCTCCCTTCTGCTGGCCAACTCCCTGCATTGCACACTGCCTGGCCAGTGATGGGCCTGGCTAAAACTAGGAACTGTGAACTCCATTCCTGTCTTCCATGTGTGTGGCAAGGGCCAAGCACTTGAACCATCTACTACTGCATTCAGGCCTAGGGCTGGGACTCAAACCCAGACACTCTCGATATGGGATGTAGGTGTCCCAAGCAGGGTCTTAACTGCTGTATCAAATGCCCTGTCCCTGTGGCCATAATTTCACTGGCTGTTGTAAACCTGGAGGAATGGCATACAAAGTACTTCCCAACTCAACTGAAAAGCACCTATCCTATAACATGCATAGCATTAATTTGAATAAATTCATTTTTTACTTACACCTGATAAAAAGTTCAATAAGCATATGGCTCTAAGAACAGGTGTCTTGAGCTTCAATACATTCTTAAATACATTCCAGGTTCCACGTGCACCCTGGGGAACCATCTTGCAAGGCGCGGGGTAGGTTGTGTCTCACACATTGGGAAACACTGCATTATAATGAGTTTCCATTGTCTCATTCTGGTCCAGTTTAGAAATACGCAAAATTAGAACCAGATTCTTCTAACCTACCCACAGATATAGGCTCAGAAAAAGTCAAGCCATGATGTTCAAGTTTCAAAGTGGTGTCAGAACTCCTGTCACTTTTTCCGGAGGTGGCGGGATGCGAGCGCCGGCACCCAGTCAGTCATTCCACGGTTCTGGTGACTGTGGCTCTCCGCAGAGGATGCTGGGCTGATCGCGCGGCCCTCGTTCTCCCCTTCAGCCTTGAGGAGGTGGCCATGGTGGATGCAGATCCAAGCAGGGAAGCCATAAGAGTCCCTGCCTGTCCGTTGGTGAGGATTTGGGATTGTTCAACTGGCCGCACAGTGGTAGGAACAAAAGCGAAAGCTCAGTTAGGCTGACCAGGAAAATCTGAAACCAGAACTGCATTGTGAATTATGATACATTCTAGGAACTCGCAGGAATGCATGACCTTTGTGTGGCTGTGCGTTACCCACTGAAATGAAAGCCAATCGATCCTGTCTACATGTATTGCATGTTTATCTGTTACACAGCCACGGAGGAAGTAATAATGATAATTAAGATGGTACTTCACAACGTGGATGGAAAATGGATCAAAAGCTAAGTTTATTTAGGTGCAAACATTTTTGAAATCCATGCCCAGTTTTTCCATAACGCATGTTTTCAGTGAACTTTTGGAAGACCTCCTGCATACATGAGTTTCAAAAGCCTTTGCACCAAAGTAAACTTACCTGTTAATTCCATTTTCCGTGAACTTTCTGAAGTCCCCACATGAAGCTCAGACTTTCTCTCCAGCAGTTTGGAACCTAGGAAGCTAGACAGCTAGGAAGACACCAT